AGCCGCGGACTTCTTGCGTTCGGTCAGCCCTCAGGGACAGCGCTCGACATCACCCGCGGCGGAGCACTTCCTGCGGTCTGCGAGCTCCTTTGGGTCTCATCCTGACGAGCAGGCACGAGAGTCGCCAATTACCAACCCGTTTGCCAGGAGCACTACTCCCACAGGTCGAAGCTCATCGGGCAGCCCCCTAGCCCAACGTTCACCAGGGAATCCCTTTGCCCGTAGCACAACTCCAGGCAGTGACTTTGGCCACGATGCGGATGTGACGGGACACGAGTCCACGTTCGAAGATCCATTTGCTGCCGCTGCGCCGCCTGTCGAGGGTCGCCAGCCCACGCCTCAGGTCCCGGAGTCGTACAACCCCTTTGCTCGGAGCCCTGCATCCGACCGCAGTTTCCTTCCCACCGTCAGTACTCTTGGTGCTTCTCCCGTAGACACCAACCCGTTTGCGGCGGCCAGGAGCAGAGGTAGAAGTGGCACTGTGGGCAGCATGGGAAGCATGGGCAGCGGAGCCGATGACACGAGTTTCGGCCAGGCCGTTCCGTCTATCGTTGGCCAAGAGTACCCGGTTGGCCCTATGGTAGACTCCGATGAGGAGGGTGAAGATCCCTTCAGCCTCGGCTCAGTAGGCCACAGTAGCAGCCCGCTGGCTTCCAGACTCGCAGTGACGCCGTTGGATACCATCCAGGAGCGCTACAACAGCGAGTTGGAAGACATGGACTCTGATTCCGAAGAGCCTGAGAGTCTCACCGGCTCGCAACAGCTGCCACCCTTGCAGCAACGAATTCCTCCTTCTTTGCCTAGCATCCAGGAGCGTCACGGCCACGGCTTTGAAGACTCCGATGAGGAGGAAGAAGACTATAACTCGAACATGCCTGGTCAGATTAATCCCGCGTTGACATCATCGCAGTACAGAGAAAGCCCCCCTCCGCCTCCGCCTCCGCCTCGCGTTCTGAGTTCCCAGGGCTTCTACCAGCAGGAAGCAGCAGAGTCATCTGAAGATAATGAGGACCCATTGGAATCGCAGTCTGCTGCCTTTACCCAGCCGGACCCCCTCTCATCTTCATTGCACAGAGCGACTCCCCCTCCCCCTCCCCCTCCTCGCGGATCTAGCTCACAAGGTCATTACGGACAACAATTTGAAGACTCTTCGGAAGAGGAACAAAATGATTGGGACAACGACTTCACTCCTGCTCAGCCCTCAACTCTATCGACATCGCAGTTCGGAGCCACTTCCCCGCCCCCGCCGCCTCCCCGCGTCCCCAGTTCCCTGTCACAGAGCAGACTTCACGTGGAGGACTCAGACGAGGAAGATCAAGGTGTCTTACCCTCTCAAGATTCACAGCCCTTCACGATGGCGTCTTCAGGTTACAGGGCTACACCCCCTCCTCCCCCGCCGCCTCGTGTGCCTAGTTCACAAGGCTTCCATCATCAAGAGCAAGCGGACTCAAGTGAGGACGAAATCCCCAACATCGCTCGACCTGGTCAGTTCCCCATTTCATCAACATCTCAGTTCAGGGCCACCCCGCCCCCGCCCCCACCTCCGCGAGCCCCAGTCTCGCAGGGTCTCCATGGCCAGGATCTCTTGGATACCAGTGACGAAGAAGAGGATATGGATGATGCTTGGGAATTGAATGCCACTCGGCCCGGCCAGATGCACAGTCTGTCGACGTCGCAGTACAGAGCGACCCCGCCACCGCCTCCGCCTCCGCGTGCCCCCAGCGCACAGGATCGCTACCGTCAACCACTCGAAGACTCCGACAGTGAAGAGGAGGACCTGAATGCTAATCAGTATGGCCAGACAACGGATGTGACGGTGACACTCAACAACCAGTTGATGGAGAGCGACCCCATAGCAACCAGCCCGATGGCAACCAACCCGATGAGCCCAGAAAGCCCCTTGGAACCGAGTCCGATGGCGACGACAAACCCGATGAGGTCAACCAGCCCTCTGGCGACAGTAAGCCCGATGTCAGCAAGCCCGGCAGCCCAACAAAGCCCGATGGAAACACCATTCACGGCGTCGGGACCCAGAAGCAGTCAGGATCCTCCAAGTCATCTAAGAGAAGAAGACGGGGAAGAAAGCGATGATTCATGGGAGAACATCAACCAGCGCGGCGAGGCAGCCCGTCTTGCGGCCGACTCAGCATTCCCCGCGCCCACGCCCCAGCTGCGTGTCGACAACTACGAGCAGCAGTGGGCCAACGCAAGCAACGATCAGATCTCCACGGCATCGACTTACCTCACCCCAGCTGGACCGGGAGACTTCACGGATACCGATTCGCAGGAGTACGCCACTCCCCTGGCTTCAGCCGGGTTCAGCGCGTCTTCGCAGTACACGCAAGGCGCGCTGGACTCACCGCGACACCCGGAATCTGCTGACATCAAGGACAGCGCTTATGACCCAGCCTATGCTCAAGGAACGTCTGGTGTTCCGCATGGACAAGACATTCCGGCCAGTCACCTCGAAGACTCCGACTCTGACAATGACAGCGACTATATCACCCCGGGGATCGCGCCTGCTGCTCCCTCATTCTTGACCCAGTTCAACGCCCCTCAACAGCCAGAAGCAACTGAGCCGGTCTTGGAGCAGGTCATCGACTCGTTCCAGAGCGACGACGACGATGGACCAAAGACTGCAGTTATGGCGTCCGACGAGCCTGTCACCCAGTACGCATCTTCACGGTTTGGAGCATCATCATGGCGTGATGAACTTCGATCCCCGTCACTGTTCGGGGCTTCTAGGCACAGCCGCTCCGACTCTCTGAGGTCAGAGCTCCAAAAGTCCATCCATGAAGGTGCGGAGACTGGGCAGCCCTCTCCGTTGCAGACCCAGGCGTATCAGCCCGAGGTCCATGTCCAAGAAGTTCACAGCCCGGAGGAGGCTCAGATGTACGGCCAGGCTTTCGGACAAGACCCGTATGCTGCCGCTGCGCAACAAGCTCAAATGTACGGGCAAGATCCGTACGCGCAGCAGCAGTTTCAGCAGTTTGGTCACGTCCAAGATGACGACGAGCAATACGGGCGGCCACAGTACAGCCCGGACTACCAGCAAACTCAGCACGGGCAACTGTCTTCACTAGAGGCCGAGTTGCAAGAGGCGGACGACTCGTCAGAGGATGAGTTTGAACATGCCACTCCACAGTTGGCACCCCAACAAAGTGAGCAAGCACCGGACGTGAGCCCCCTTGCTTTGCGCCAGGAGTCATCACCAGCTACCCCCTCGCGTGCCACTCCTGCTACACCTGTTCAAGGCACGCCCTCCACACCGTCTCGTGGTCTTGCCAACAGCAGACACAATCCTGACCGACCACAGACACCGCCTTCCCAGCCGGTCGTGGAGGAGGACTTTGATCCCGATGCATTCGTCCCGCGCGACGTGACCAACGTCCCTTGGCACGCTCGAACCGACTCTGTGCCGTACTCCGTACAGAGCCAGAGCACGATAGACTCCATGGCATCATCGCCCATTCACTCAGCGCTGCCTGTCGACAAGCACGAACCCGTCATTCGGGATTCGTGGCCAGCCTCTGTGCATAACTTGACGCGCCCGCGGAATGATTCTACTCTTACCGATCGGTCATTTGACGACCCCTTCAAGTATGACGGTGGGGGCACCAAGTCACTTCATGGAGCATCGGGCTCCGTCGGATCGACGTCCGACAGCCCTGGACGGGCTTCCGGCACAGGCAGTTCACCCGGAAGTCTCATCAGCAGGATGCGCGGGATCTTCGAAGGCAATCAAGCAAAGCAAGAGCCCGCAAGCCCGGTCCGATCACGGCCGGTCTCGGGTGTCTTTCACCCAGTCCGACGTGCCAAGCCCGAGGACGAGGACGACGGCCCCGGCTATCAGCGCAAGGCCGGGTTTCTCAACGAACACGAGGACGAGGTTGACGAGCAGAGCGCACTCCTACGAAACTCTGCTGGAGGGCTGGAGGCAAATTGACCACGCTCGGGCGGAGCGGGGCTCAAAGTCATGAGGGTGAAGCGGGACGCGGAGTACGACGATGTGGATGACGACCGCCCGATGCGGAAGTATCGAAAAGATGCGAGCGGCCTCCGGGTGCCGGTCGTCTGGACCGAGGTGCGAGAGCCCGAAGAGCCCTCTGGCGAGAGCGTGTTTCGTCTTGCGTGGTTGTTTGTGGAGGGATGGCGGCAGAAGCTGCGGAAGGCTGGGGACATGATTGAGAAGGCGCGATGGGAATGGGAGATTGATGGCACGACGACGGCCTGTACGCATAGTCGGGCGTCAAATTTGACGTTTGGAGTTGTGATTGCGGATGCCCGCATACGTGTGCCTGAAGAGATGAACAAGAAGAAGAAACAACGGAAGTCGGTGCATTGGGCGTTGGATGGATGAATGATGCTTACGAATAATGGATTACGGACATGAACATGGTCATGATCATGGACATTGGATGGTTAGAAGAGGATCATGAAGTAATAATGACTTGTTGTTTTTGGCACACCTGACTTTTGGATCTTTCATCTTCGTCCCAACCAGGTGTAACGAGAAATCACTGATCAACATCGAAACGTGTCTACCAGATAGAATGTCTGCTCGAAACAGTTCCGGCGCAAGCCAAGGTTGCCATCGGCTCTTGTTGCGGTCGGACCGCAGAATTCCCCGCTTCGCCGACAAAGATCGTCAACTCTCTTGCGTTACTCCGAATGGGTACAAAACCCCCCAACCCCCTTCTCACATGCAATTACCTAAGCCACATCCTCGGCGAAAACAGCTGACACGGGCTACTCCAGTCTTGTCACGACCCTTACTATCGAGTCCCTCGCACATCGCGATAACTTTCGTACTCGCTGCGAGATTATCCAAGGCCCGAAGGACAAGGCAAGTCCAAGTTGAAGCCAAAAAAAAACTTGATTTAGAATGGATGGAGGACACCCTCTTATCACCCTTTTATGAACAACATCCCGGCGTATCGATAACGCTCTAGACCCCCTTTGTCTTCTTTACATTTGCCTGATTCAGCAATTGGCAGATTATGTCCCAGCAGCAGCAGCAGCAGCAGCAAAATGAGCCCTCTTCTGCCACTGCCTCTGTCCCGGCGTCGTCACCTCCTGCGGTCCGAACATTCAAGCGGGCTGCAGTGGCGTGCAAGGCTTGTAACCTGCGCAAAGTGAGGTGCACCGTCACGTTATCCGGCCCACCTTGCGCCAACTGCTCTGTGGACGGCATTACGTGCGAGGTCCTGAGTCGTAAACGACGGCGGTAAGTTCCTTCGTGATTATTACCCTCTTAGAAGACCTACTAATTATCACAGCAACTCGGACCAACTCCCGACACATCCCGGGGGTGGACCCGCTGGTGGTGAGAACCCGTTGATCATCATCCCGCAACGAGGCCAAACCAAGCGCCGTCTTCTTGAGCCGCAAACAGCAGGCCCATATCCCCGGGAAAAGTCTGAAAGCTCAGAGAATCGCAATGTTCGAGGGGGCTCGGCGCCGCTTGAGGAACACCGCCATGCCAATGATGGGCCCGGGTCACCAACTCCCCCCGGACTACTAGCGAGGAACAACTCCGTGGGGGACGCATCTGCCCACACCACTCGGCCCTACGATGCCGTGAGAGCTCTGCTTCCCGCCAAAAACCAGCGATCGGCCCCGGATCCGTCCGATGCTACCGAGGACAGCTCCGCTTATGCAGAGACCCTTGAGGGCGGCAAGAACCGAGAAGACGGCTGCGTGCCATTCTACCCCGGTAAGGACGCTTACCCTACCTGGCAGTGATGAGTGCCACGATGCATCTCGCATACAAACTTGTTTACATCAGAGCTTCTTATTAACGCCAGTATTTAGGAGATCAACGCGGGCCCGCATTCTTGATTGACATTTGTGAACCAAATCGATCCTCGAAGGACAATCATTTCTTGGTACCCATGCCCTCGATCAAAGCCCTGGCCCCAGAGGATGTCAACTATCTACGATCCAAGGGCGCCTTTACGCTGCCTCCAGCTCGCGTTCGCGAGGCCATGATACGGTGCTACTTTCACTACGTTCATCCATTTGCCCCTATCCTTGATGCGAACGAATTCATAACCGAGTATGAGAAAGGACGGAAGAGCCTCTTGTTGCTATGGAGCATGTTCATCGCGGCGGCAAGCGTAAGACATGACAGGTTTTCTCGGTCTCTAGTACATGGCTAACTTGTGACTTAGTTTGTTGATGAAAACCTGCTTACCGAGGATTTCTATCCTTCGAGGAGAGCACTCAAGAGAGGCATGTATCAACGAGCAAAAGTGAGCGGCTCCAATGTGATCCTACTCAACTTCTCTCTAACTTGATACAAGGCCCTTTATGATGCGGACTACGAAAAAGACAAAGTCACTCTCATTCAGTCTCTCTTCCTAATGGGACACTGGTATACCAGTACAGACGACCGTGCCGGCCCATGGCATTGGAACGGTATCGCCATCAGCCTCTCTCATACCATCGGCCTCCATCGTCTCAACATGCCATGTCAACAGGCCTCCCAGGGCACGAAGCCATTCTGGAGACGCCTCTGGTGGTCGCTGTACAGTCGTGAGGTATGGCTTTCACTGGGACTCGGTCGACCAATGCGCATCGCCTTTGACGACTTTGACACCCCCATGCCGGCAGCCTGTGACGCGGACGTCCTCTCACCCGAGGTCGCAGGGAACCTCGGCCGAAAGTACCTCCCTGGCGAGCTCGGCTTCTTGTTCGACATCTGGCTCGAATTCGTCGGACTCAGCGCCACGCTTGGCAACATCCTTTCGACGAATTACCGGGCAAAGGGTGTGAAGCCGTCGAGAGCTGACATTGAACGGAGCGAGAGCCAGATCCGGGCGTTTCAGACCCGGGTCCCGGAGGCCACGAACCAGAGCCGGGTGGTTGCATCTCACATATACCAGTTCAAACTTTACTTTGAGTAAGTTGCTGAGGATTCTGTGATGTTCTTGGAATGGGAGCTTACGGCGTTTAGAACATCCATCATCGTCCTTTATCGACCCTTCATCCTAGATACCCCGCGAGAGATCCCGGCCGCTGATCAAGGCAACTGGAGGACCTTTGCATGCCAGAAAACCCGGACTGCGGCGTCCAATGCGAGCGCAGCAGTGAACTCCATGATGGCGGAGGATCTTATCCGTCTATGCCACACCATAACGTAAGATGCAGACGTACATACTCATCTGGAGCACAACTGACGCAACGAGCAGGGTCATCGCCCTAGTGCCACCAATGCAGATTCACCTCTTTGAATCAACGTCGTCCAAACAAATGGCACGCCAAATGGGCAGACACAACCTCGCCTTGTGCATGGTTGCCATGGACGAGTTGCGCAAGAGCTACATCTCGGCAGAGGCGTCGTACAAACTCTTCGAGACCGCCATCAACAAAGTCGACAACGCGCCGCCTCATCAAGAATATCAACCATCTCCCGCAGCGCCCACTGCGTCAACTACACCTGATGGCACAATGAACAGTAACACCTTCGCCGACTGGCCAGACGGTTATGGTCTGGGCAGCGCCAACATTATATCGAACATGTGGAGCCCCTTGCCGGGCGCATATCAGGACGACGCCTCCATATCCGGAACGCAGTAAGTGCCGCGAAGCTTTCATGAGAACACGAATCATTGACTTGGCGCAGCACCGATGCATGGCTGGATATTCAGTCGATGGACAGACTGTGGACACTGGACGACTTCAGCCTCCCGTAAAAGGGGCCAGCACCGTACCGCGACGATCAGTGAACGAAGTCCGGTCCCGCCATGCCTGTGGGATGAACTTTATTTTCACTGAGCACCTCATTCCAAACCCCCAGGCTCTGCTCTCGGGGTCCTTCCGGGGCCTCTTGGCCCGTCGGACGGGGTTCTGCGATGGCGCCGACAGATGTCGTGTTCTGAGGACCGGTTTTCGGTCGAATACTATCGAGAACAGATGCAACACAACCATGAACCGGCGGCGCGCCGACGAATATTGAGGTGGCTCAGCGAGGGATTGCTCCGATCCCTGAGCATTGAGATCCACTTATTGCCGAGGCCGAGGTGCCGAGGCACTTTGGCCGCTTTGGCGCTAGCATATGATGCTCTGCCTTAGCATGGGTGCGAATTGAGCTTCAAACTCATCCGTGGAACATGGACTGCGTATCATTGATGCTAATACTGGTGGAAGTTTGATGTAAGATAGTGTAATTATAATTCTAATGAGAGAAAGACGGGGCCTGAAGAAATTCTAGTTGACAGGCCAGTACAAGAGTGATTGCATGTATTTGGTGTTGGTCTCTGCATCCAGAACCGTGCCCACAAGACATGAACGTTAGAAAGCCTACCTACCAATTAAGCACGTAGCTGCCTATTCACTAAATTGAAAAAAGACAATTTAGAAAAATAAAATCGCTGATCAGTTTTGAGAGCTCGAAAACAATCATATATTCAGACCAGAAGATACTAGAGATACAAAGGATCGCCCATCGCTACCAACGTTGCTATGGCGAACGTGTAAGCTGAGCTACCTCAGAGTTTAGCTTTCAACCCAGAAATCGCCTCCTTGGCTCCTGGTTTCCACCACGGCCAGAATGGAAACTCAGATCTATCGATGTCTCCAGCAAACTCCGGCTTCCTCTTCTCCATGAACGACCTCAGACCCTCGACATTGTCCGGTGACCCCGCTGAAGCAATGAAGGTCCTCGAGTCCAGCAAATGAGTTTCCTCAGGTGTGTCGGGGCAGTAAAGCATCAGGTCTCTCATCATCTTGGTGCTCATGAGAGATGTGTTCTCCGCCATATCAACCGCCGTGCCTACGGCATAATTCAGAGTGGCTTCCGGGGTCGGGAGAATGTTTGAGAACAGGCCGCTGACCATAGGGTCCGACGCAGCATACGTGTTGCCCGTCGCCGTCATATGCATCGCCCTTGCGAGGCCAACAAGCTTGGGAAGGTAAAAGGCACTGACGGATTCCATGGTGAATCCCCGACGAGCGAAAGGCATGCTGAGCTTTGCGTCCTTCCACGCCACTCGGATGGTGGCTGACAGGATCGAGGTTAGGCCAAAACCTGCCGCAGCACCGTTGACGGCTACGATTGTTGGTTTGATGCAGTTGGAAATAGCTAGAGCAACTCTGCCGCCTCTGTAAACAAGTGTTAGTAGCTGCGTTTCGACGTAAATCATGGGTAACTTACGGGTCTTTCCATTCCTTCATTGTCTTTTCGTTCTGCTTGATCTTCAAAAGCCCCTCCGGGCCACCCGAGAGATCCATCCCAACGCAGAAGGACTTGCCCGCGCCGGTAAGCACAATGGCCCGTACGCGCGTATCTCTGTTAAAGAGATTGAAGACCGATTCGAGCTCTGTGAGGATATTCTCGTTAACCGCATTGTGTCGTTTGGGCCTGTTGAGAGTAACGATGACTACTTTGGTCGCAGTAGGTGCGTCGGCGGGGACATGGCTAATCAATATGTCCTTGTAGCCCGCAGATGTGTACGACTGGGGGATTGATGTATTATCAGAATGAGACATGGTACGGAAGGACTTGATTGAATCAATCGCTGGATTCTGTGGACGGGTCTGTTCAAGTAAAGATTCACTGCAGTGTTTGCTTGATATCTAGGCTTCTTTCCTCCGCGGATCTGATACGATTTCTCTCTTAAATTCAACGGCAATCGCATCTCAGATTGATTATTGTACACCTCGGTATTTGTTCATCCCCTCTCGACGCCAGGAGATAAAGTTCGCGATGAACAATGCCGAAGTCACTGGTGACTGGACTGATCCGTTGGCTTATGACGAGCTCTTCTATTTCGATGGCAGAAGTAAGTTGACGTCCGAAGTCATTACCTATTATTTGGAGTTCATTTGTATGCCATACTAACTCTGTACAGTCTGATCTCCGTGACTCCTGGGCCTCTCCACGGAGTGCTCCGTACGTACTGCCGGAAGTCTCGGCGGCCCACAAAGTACCGAGGTCCGCCAATGATCCCAAACACAGGTGCCTTTCCTTGTAGTGTTGTGTGAATATTGTTTGCTCCCAGAATTTGGGGATTTTGGACGAAGTATCCCATCTGGGGATCTTCCCCGACGCAGACTTGATCAACTTGTTCGTAAAGTTGGGGTGCCTGATCGAAAACCCGCCTCAACAGATTGCACGATGGAATCTCAACAGATGCGGGGATATCTACGAGATGAGGAGAAGACCCAAGATGTAGGTTGTTATCGTGATTGTTGACCCACAGGTCGTTGGATGTTTGCGGGAAAAATTATGACGCAGCTTTCTTATTTGAATGCTGTTTGCGCTTCATGGCTTAGGAGCCCAAGCATCGTATATGCAGCAATTCAAACTCAATTGCAAAGCATCAAGATAGTGTCCAACTACAACGGAACAATGGCCGTTGCGTGGAGTAGTCTTGCACCTTATGGGCACGTTGTTCACTCGCTCTTTACCTTCAAGGCATTGTTGATTGGGCTAGCATTAGCCAATGTCAAGAGCTGGCATTTCATGTGGACGATAAGTAGACGAGAGTCAACGTAAACTGTAGATCATGCCTTTGACTCTAGATACAGATCCGGTTTCTACGCGCATTCATTCGACGACTTGCCGACACCGCGCCCCCGAAGCACCTGAGCCCACGATGCCTTTTCCTGCCAGCGATCTCCGCCACCCGCTCGCCGATGCTAGAGTGCGACTACAACATGCACAAGTCGAACTCGACCTACTTCACCGATCTCGACATGTCACGGGGCAATATCAGTCTTGTCCTCTTTCGCAAACCCTTCAACCCGTTCCCTGGACCAAACCATTTTATCATGATCCTCGGGGGCGCAAATTGTGTCTGGCGCAAGGAGATCGCACCTTACGAGGCATACGAGTTGTGGACGAGGGTGTTGACATGGGACGAGAAGTGGATTTACCTGGTCTCCCATTTCGTCAAGGCTGGCAAGTTCGTACCCAGCGAGTATGCGATGCAGCCTGGCTCGACGGCAAAGAAGAGCAGGAGTCGAGGAAATACGGTGAATGATCCTCAAAAGGCCGTGTTTGCGTCTTCGATTGCGAGATATGTTTTCAAGAACGGAAGGAAGACCGTACCTCCTGAGAAGGCTTTGCTGGAGTGCGGCTTGCTGCCTGGCGACGAAGTCGAGCTGGCTGAGGTTGAAAGGTTGCGGCTGAAATGGCTTCCTGTCGCTCAACTCAAGTCGGGCTGGGATGCCGTCCACGAGTTGTTCGAACCGGGGGAGCTTGCTCTCGGCCGGTACACTGACCTATGGTGGCGGTAGGGTCTTCCTTGCGACTGCGATGAAGGAACGGCTCACCATGAGCAAATACGAGTTTAAGGTTCCCTACTAGACTTGGATGGCTTGTTGCAGGTTAATGAAAAGACATATTGATGTACATGTTCCCGTGGTATGCAGAAACTTTGATATCAATTGACGGCATAAATATTCTTCATGGTTGGCGGTACGACCAAGTGTCACTGCTATTGTTTTGTCTCCGAAGTTTACGCTGCCGCACTTCGCAGCATGGTCCGCCTTGCATCGAGGGCGGAGCTGTCTTGCTGTGTGCTGATGGGGGTAAAAAGAAATCCTCTGCTTGCAATTGGAGAATTGAGATAAACGCCGGCGGTGAAAATCCAAGACATCGTGTCCCGCATCCCACATTCCCTAGGGCTGGGCGAGCTGGGTACGTGTCAGTCACCCTGTGTCGGGCCCATTCCCCGATCTGCAGTCTTGAACTCTAGAAGTTTAGGGCGCTCAGCTGGCGTTATGTTGCGTCATTATGTCTATGTTCCCCGCAAAGTGCAAACGAGAACGAGCCGTCGAATGTACCAAAGCAAGGCATTGTAGCTGGAGTCACGGATGACATATGAGTTGGCCAGACTGCTGGCAATGGCGCTGGCAAGCATGGGAACGTTAAGTTTGTGGTTTAAGCTCAACCACAAACCATGGGAACTCACGATGGCCGACAGCCAAAACAAACTGCCGGCGAACCGTGGAATCCGTGGTGCGGCGTCGGAGCGGGAGGCGTGCCATCTCGGTCTGGCCGACGGAACGGGATGGAGCAATTTGGCTGCCGGCACTTTACACGAACTGCGCCCGCGCGGAACGGGTTAGGGGCGGTATTCAACGCTGCGTGTGCCGTGTGTGCCTGTCAAGGAGCATGCGCTAGGGGATCTGATCTCGGGAATGGCACCCCTGGATGGAGGGGCCATGTACTCATCCCTATTCTAGGGCTCTAGGCAAACGGTTGGGTCCGGCGCTGCTACGTTGTAACTTGTTGGGGGCCTTGTTTTATCTGAGTGGTTTCTGGGCAGACTCTTCAAGGAGAAATGGGCTCATGAATCGGCGGCCTCGGCACAAGAGACTGCTCTGCGCGTTTTCTAATCACTCTAATCAGCATTGGATCGTGATAGGGCCAAGAACGGGGGCTCAAATCCGATCCTGCAGTGCTGACCGAAGGGAACACGACCCCTGACTCACCGCCCACAGGCCGCATGTTAAGCGTCTTACGGCGTACATGGCTCTCTGCCTTAGTGTTGTCGTACCGTCTATTGTGCGTACGGGCGCAAGTAGATTATTTTTTGCTGAATTTCCATAGGCCGTCCGCCCAAGACCGCCGTCGGAGACTCGAGTGAGACGGAGTAGGAGGATCGGCTGGTCGGACGGTCGGACGATGGCAAGGAACATGATCAATGGCAAAACACGCTGAACCAAACAAATTCACCACTGAAGGTCTGACAGACAGCACTGGAGTTTCTGAAGTCGGCAGCGGATTTGGGATGGCGCCGAATGCCTTGTTTCACTGCAGACGGGGACGGGCGGGATGACCAACTTGGGCGACGAGCTGGCACGATTCCGTTCGTCTCGACCACTGACGTCGCCGGGATTAGCCCACCTGTCCGTCCTGTCGCCGTGGAAAAGTGGGAATTTGGAAATCTTTTTTCGGGCATGATATCAGCGTTCATCCTGGCGCTCCACGCATGATGATGGGACCGAGGCATAACGCCAACACCGCGACGAGGGAGATTAGCCACGTCCGTTTATGGGGCCAAGCCTTTTGCAATTGTGAATATTATCAGCCTCGAATCCCTTCTTTTTAAGACCGGCCTCGTTCTCTTCTGATCCAAGCTAAAGTGCACTGGGAGATCTGAGTCTGTACATCCAACACGCCGACACATCACTCAATCCTACCACCACCACCACCAAAAACATCACACAAGAAACATGTCAGAAACAGTACCGATCCCCGAGCCCTATGGGCTGCCGCTTCTCGGCAATATTAACGACATCGACCCTGAATTCCCTCTCGGGTCCATGACCTCGCTGGCCGACCAGTACGGTAAGCTTACACCCCTGGCTGCGGCCCCTATCTTATCGATGACAAGCATCTGACACCTGTGCGCCAAGGCGAGATCTACCGCCTGCATTTCCCTGGACGGTCTCTGGTGTTCGTCTCAACGCAAGCTCTGGTCAACGAGACCTGTGATGAGAAGAGATTCAAGAAGTGCGTAAACTCAGCACTGAATGTAAGTCGCCTCGTTCTATAGAATTTTTGAAAATTTTGAGTCCTAACCTCCACCCAGGAAATCAGAGATGGCGTGCACGATGGTCTTTTCACAGTAAGTTTCGGCGGGGTTCATCAGGATTAGGCATTGGAAAATGAGCAGCTCTTGACCGCGAGAACAGGCGAAGATGGGCGAGGAGAACTGGGGGATTGCACACCGCGTCCTCATGCCTGCATTCGGTCCCCTCTCGATTCGCAACATGTTCGACGAGATGCACGATATCGCCACACAACTGACGCTGAAATGGGCACGATATGGCCCTGATGAACCGATCATGGTTACCGACGACTTCACGCGACTCACCCTCGATACCCTCGCGTTGTGCTCTATGGGATACCGTTTCAACAGCTACTACTCACCGACCCTCCACCCTTTTATCGAGGCTATGGGCGATTTCCTGACTGAGGCTGGTAACAAGCCCCGCAGGCCGCCTCTGCCTGGCGTCTTCTTCCGCGCGAAGGACCAGAAGTTCAAGGACGACATTGAGATTCTCAGAAACACCGCCAAGGGAGTTTTGGAATCGAGAAAGGCTGAGGGCGAGAAGAGCACCCGCCGCGATTTGCTCACTGCCATGTTGGAGGGTGTTGACACGAAGACCGGAAAGAAGATGACTGACGAGAGCATCATGGACAACCTGATTACCTTCTTGATCGCAGGACACGAGACCACATCAGGTCTCCTTTCATTCGCCTTCTATCAACTACTGAAGCACCCCGAGTGCTACCAGAAGGCCCAGCAGGAAGTCGACAGCGTCGTCGGCAAGGGACAGATTCACGTCGACCACCTCTCCAAGCTCCCGTACATCAACGGCGTCCTTCGCGAAACCCTCCGTGTGAACGCCACCATCCCCGTGTTTAGTGTTGAGGCTTTCGAGGACACTCTGCTTGCAGGCAAGTATCCCGTGAAGGCAGGCGAGGTCATCATCAACCTGCTGGCCAAGTCTCACCTGGACCCCCTCGTTTATGGCGACGACGCCACCGAGTTCAAGCCAGAGCGCATGTTCGACGAGAACTTCAACCGCCTCCAGAAGGAATTTCCCAACTCGTGGAAGCCTTTCGGCAACGGCATGAGAGCCTGTATCGGCCGCCCCTTCGCCTGGCAGGAGGCCCTCCTGGTCATGGTCATGCTCCTCCAGAACTTCAACTTCGTCCTGGACCCCAACTACAGCTTCGGCGTCAAGCAGACCCTCACCATCAAGCCCAAGGACATGCATATGCGCGCCATTCTGCGCGACAATCTCACGCCGACGACCCTCGAGCGCCGCCTGGCCGGTCTCGCCGAGCCCGAGAAGGCGACCAACGGTAACAGCGCGAACGGAGCCGCCGCCGCCGCTCAGGAGGGCGGCAAGCCGATGACCATCCTCTACGGTTCCAACAGCGGAACCTGCGAGGCTCTGGCTCAGCGCGTGGCGTCTGATGCTTCGTCCCATGGATTCCGTGCCACCAAGATCGACTGCATGGACAGCGCCAACGGCAGCCTGCCAACCGACCAGCCCGTCATCATCATCACGGCTTCATACGAGGGCCAGCCCCCTGACAATGCGGGTCACTTTGTTGCTTGGATTGAGGGCCAGGACAAGGAGAAGTCACCCCTCAAGGGCGTCAACTACGCTGTCTTTGGATGTGGCCACAAGGACTGGGTGCAGACCTTCCATCGCATCCCGAAGTTGGTTGACACCACTCTCGAGCAGCTCGGCGCGAGCCGTCTGGCCGAGGCTGGTCTCACCGATGCCTCGACTGGCGAGGTCTTCACCAACTTCGAGACTTGGGAGGATGATGTGCTCTGGCCCGCCCTGACCAGCAAGTACAACACCACTTCCGCTGACGACAGCAAGACAAAGGGTGTCGATGTTACCATCAGCAACCCTCGCACCTCGACTCTTCGCCAGGATGTCAAGGAGGCCTCAGTGGTCAAAACTGAGACCCTCACCAAGGGCGGAGATCCCAGGAGCATTAAGAAGCACATCGAGATCAAGCTGCCTGAGGGCATGACCTACACTGCTGGCGACTACCTGGCTGTCCTGCCTATCAACCCCAAGGAGACCGTCCACCGTGCGATGCGTCGCTTCCACCTTGCCCGCGATGCGCATCTCAGCATCAAGACTGACGGACCTACGTCCCTCCCCGTCGACACCTCCATCCCCGCCGATGACATCCTCAGCCATTACGTGGAGCTTTCGCAGCCCGCAACAAAGAGGGTGAGTAACATATGCTGAACGAACTCGCACGGATAAAAGCTAACCAATCTCAAGAACCTCCTTGCTCTCGCAGAATACGTCAAGGATGAAGACACAAAGGCCAACCTGACCCGTCTGTCTGGAGATGCCTACGCCGACGAGATCAGCACGAAGCGCGTCTCCGTTCTCGACCTGCTCGAGCGTCACCCCTCCATCGACTTGCCGATCGGCGTGTTCCTAACCATGCTGCCCCCCATGCGTGTCAGACAGTACTCCATCTCCTCTTCGCCCATGGCCTACCCCTCCAACGTCACCCTCACCTTCTCCGTTCTCAACGAGCCGTCCCTCTCCGGCCAAGGCCCGCACATCGGTGTCGCGTCCTCCTACCTCGACTCCTTGGCCGAGGGCGACACCCTCCACGTCGCCATCCGCCCATCTCACGCGGCCTTCAGCCTCCCTTCCGACCCTGAGAGGACGCCCATGATCTGCGTCGCCGCCGGCACCGGCCTCGCGCCCTTCCGCGGCTTCATTCAGGAGCG